CCATTTTTAGGTGACTAATCTTTACAATTCAGTTTTTTAAGAGTATAGTATTAAATAATATTATGTTCAAACTTAAAAAATCTAGTAATGATGCCGGTTTGTGGCGGTGACCCTTTAATCTAGATGTGTCGTAGTGGTCGTTTTCTGTTTGTATGGATTTACTCTTGTAGTAGAGTACAATCTCTAATAAGCGTACTTGAAATGAGACTGTGGGAATAATGACATCCTATTGCAATCTTTAAGCTTCGGTGTCTCCTTCTTGTGACGGTGGATATCTGCCACACACCAAGTGTCATCGAACCTATATCAAACTTGGAGCATTCAAGGAGAAAAGTAAAGMYAGAGCGATGCCAGTGCTGCTATTGACTGATCGAGACTGCTTTAGCGACGAGAACGATGGRCATAAGCTGGACTGGTACAAATTCGAAGAATCAATTCACAGGTTAATAAAATGACGGTTATGATATGTAAGGAGGTTCAATCATATTGTACTGTTGACTGGAATGCTCATGTAATCATAAAACTACGTTAGGACTAATACAGAAATTATGACTGATATATGTTAAAAGTAATCTTCAGATGAACCAGAGATTATTTCGTATTAGTGGAAAACGTAAGGTATGCCGCACGGTAACTGTTACAGGGGTTCTTGTCTTGTAACTTGTGGGATTTACTCAGGAAGAGCCGGTACTGGATCAAAATATATTTAATACTAAACTTGGAAAAGATGTTGTATACACTGAGTTTAGCTACCAACTATCGAACGATAGCCAACTAAAGAACAACTAAAGATCAACTAACCTATACAAAATGTCAATCTACCTATATAGTGAATGTTTTACAAGTCAGAGTGACAGCAAATTGGCAGGCTACATTGCAATACGATTGGATAGAGTATAAGCTTGACGTACTAAAGTTTGATTTACTAATAAGGTGTTCAGCTAAGGCTGAGCGAGAAAAGGCTATGCCCCGATATAGTTTTAAGTTAAATTCAAAGATGAAACTAAGACAGAAGATAGCTCTAACAGAGAACCGACTTTCTATCAAGTTATATTATAAAGATACACAAAATGATCGATGCTACAAGGCTCCAAACCAACGAAGGGCGTTTTGGGGTACGCATTGAGGTGTAAGGTTACAAGGGTGGAGTCTATCCGAAATTGGTGTAATATTGCAGTGCTATAAGACACGTGGGGATATCCTAGATGAACATGTGGAAACTGAAATAAGCTGCCTTGTAGTCTCGTTATACTGTCAAACCTATAGTTCTTATCTGACAGCTTAATGGAATATTCGAAATTAAAGAGAGGGATTAAAAGGAAGTGACAACTGAGAGTCACAAGCTGTAACTAGACTTAGGCTTAGTTAGGGACACAACGCTAAGCAAGACAGTGTAGAAAACCTATAAAAATAGTAACCTAAGTTATGTTCGAGATAAATGTATTGGAATACTAGTAAACGTTAAACAGCTAAACGAAACGATGTCTACAAAACAGATGTCATATTTTATATCTAATCAAGATTATGTCAAAATAAATATAAGTTCTATTACCACAAGAACGCAGGTGTGAAGCATAATGATAACCTAGGGAGTAGCTTACTAGAAAACGTTCATGAATATTAATTTACTAATTTTGTCTTATAACATAACTATACGGTAACTATAACTGTTTCCACGGCAGCCGCTCTTCATCTCAAATTATTGCCTAAAATGTTTGGTGTGAACTGTATCTACTGAAGATAGCGCGCACATATACAATTCGAGAAACCTAGAGAAGCAACTGTCCATTACTCCTTTCGACCGGCTACAGGAGTCCCGGGGAAAGAGTACAGTATAACTTGCATTGAACAAGCCAATCATATTAATAGTCACACACGTAGCGACCGCTTTAAATTTTCAAGCTCCTAAGACATTCGTAATATTTGCTTTTATATTATAGCTATCCCGCGTGCTTTCCCAACATCCCGCGTAGTATATTTCATAAGGAACGCACGAAAATGTGTTGTTTAATTTATTGCTGAAGTTCACATTATTTTTTTTGTTTGGTTCATTTGTCTGCTTCTGTCTCTGTTAAGCCCCAAATGTCACGAAAGTAGATTTATTCAAATTTTCGCTTACATGTTTCGCGCAGAAATGCCACCGATGATTTCAACTTGCGGGTTGAAAACGATAGATTTTGTTGACTAAACCTGACCTCAACTTGTATCCGACAATAACACGGTTCAAACTTTTATAATGACGGGGAAAAATAATAGGCTTTTTTTCCAGGTGCTATTGAAACATTTGCCTCAAATGCAAATGACATTCGATCAGTCTTACTTTCTATTGTACAGAGAGTTGTAATATATCTCGCGATAACCACATTTATTTGGTAATCGCGAGGTCACATTCTTTTCTCTCGAGTCCTTGAGCGGGTCGAAAGGGGGCCAGGACTGGACTTAGAGAAGCAATAGATGAGATACTCAAATATGTGGCTGAATCAAAATATTGTCGATTTATTGTTAGCTTGGCATGTCGATGTGCAGAACTGGCAAAGCAAAACCATTGGCAAGTATTTGGCTTACAGAACTACGGCGAATGTTGGAGTGGTCCAAATGCAGCATTCACGTTTGACAAATATGGCAAAGCCGGACCGCATGACTCAGTTCAAATACTGACTAACAGTACTGCTCAGTGTGACAA